CCAACTCCTCCACAGCCGTAAGGGGTCCCAAGTTTGCCCGTTAGCGGGCGGAAGACTCCACAGCCGAAGGGGGTCGGACGTGCAGGTTGGCCTCCAAAGGAAGGGAGATGTCCAAGGCTTGGTATCCGGGCATCCGGTCGCTTACAGCCCTTCGGTGGCCGCTTATATTGAGTTCAGCAGCATTCTGGGGTCCTTCAGTCCACCAATCGGAAAGTTTTTTAATGACCAATCAAGAGGGCTTTATTAGCTCAAATCAAAAGGCTCGAAGCCCAAAGCAAATACGAACATTCCAAAAACCATCGCATACATGAGACCGAACACATTCCAGCGAAGCTCAAGAGAGGAACCATAAACAATAGAAATAACATCCGTAGACAGAGAAGTTATACATACCCAGAGCAAAACCACCCCCGAAGTAGAGATCCCAAATGCGAACATACACAAGACAAAACATTTCCAACGCAGGGTTCTGTAAATAAAGTGTAGCGTTAGAGCGTGCGTTCACGTTCGCCTCCATCTGGGGTCCCCCGACCCCGCAGAGGCCATGAGCCGTGCCGTAAAGACGAACGAACCCCCGAAGAAGGTAAAAACAAGGTAAAGCTAGACTAAACACTCGCGCGTGCAACACTTCGCGACAATATTTCAGTGGCGTGCGGGTGACAGGGTTCAACATATTTGCCGCATGGGGATAAAATGCGCTACTAGACACAGTGCTGTAGTGGTGCACACGCAACGAAATAGAGGATACAATCTCAGGAGTATCAATCTTGACGTGTAAACATTTCAAGAGAAACAAAATATCAGCCGAGAGCCTGTTGTTATACAAAGGTTCGACCTTGTAGTAACTACAGACACTGGAATAATTGTATGGCTCGTTTTGCAAGTAGCGGTAGATAAGAATGTAGGCGAATTTCTTCTGAACGCGGTCAACTAAAGCTTCAATGGATATCGCCAACCCGTTCCAGGCTACAGATGCATATTCCAAGTGGGATCGGCAAAGACATTTAAAGAGTGTGATAAATACAAAAGGCTGCAAGTCTTCACTCGTTATCCGGTGGATGACGCCTAGCGTTCTCATAGCAGTAACAAATGTTCTCTCGACATGAGAACGAAACTTTAGATTTGAGTTGAAGTAAACACCTAGATCTCCAATTGATTCAGTACGCGTGATTTTCTCAGACTCATTTCCGTAGGGGAACATAATTTGTCCAGTTTTCCGACTGTAGGTGACAACTTTCAGTTTTGTTCTATTGAGCATGAAATTATTGACCGAGCACCAGTTTCCAATTCTGTTTATATCTCCCAGCAGCACGTCGCTGTCCTCCTCTGACTGGCATTATCGAAATATCTTCATGTCATCCGCAAGCTGAAGAATGAATAAGTAGGATAGGCATTACTGCACATCATTGACAAACAGTGTGAGGAGAAGGGGTCCGAGAGCCGAGCTTTGGGGGACACCAGAAGGGGTGCGATATGAAGAAGAGTACACACCCTCAATTCTTACTCTATTCTGGCGGCCTCGTAGACAACAAGAAAACCAAACAAGCATTGATCCTTTCACTCCCATCCGTTGTAATTTGTTCAGGAGGAGATTATGGTGTACTAAATCGAATGCTTTACTAATTTCAAAATAAACTAAATCAAGCTGATTACTATTATTCCCAATGGGCACAGCGATATTAATAAGACACGTTAAGTTGGTTACTGTGGACCGACCCGGCATAAAGCCGTCCTGACATGCGGCAATGATGTTTCTATAATAATAATAATAATAATAATAATAATAATAATAATTTTATTTCGCATATCTTCAATACAGAATAAAGTAACGGGTCTGTCGAAGCCAGTGGAGGCTTGAGGGACAAAACCCAACAAGTCAAATGACACAAATTGCAAAGAAGTCCTAGGAACACATAGGGAGCAAAAAGCTGACAGTAATTTCAGTCAAATAATCAGTCAAAATAACAGTGGAAAAATTAAAAACACACACACACACACAACGAGCAGTAATGAACAGAACTCTACAACAGAATTACACTGAGAAATTGTTCAACAATTTTTTCAATTTTCTCTTAGTGGTAGCTTTAAAAAAGGAATCAGGGAGTCTATTAAATATATATGGCACATAGTAGGAACGGACTCGTTTACCATATCTCGTATAACATCGGGGGGTTATGAAACGCTCTGAGCTACGCAAATTCCTGCTAGACACAAGGGGATTCTTGAAATCATTACACCAAAAATGAGAGATCACAACAGATTGAAGATGGAGTGAACGAAAGTTCGGCAACTGTAAAGCCTGGAAGATGTCTGCATCTAATGGAAGATCGAAATGATACCCAACGCTTTTTAACAAACTTTTAAGAATTCTGTCAATTTTTGTTTTCCAAGTTTCTGCGCAGTTACCAAATAATGTGATTCCATATCTGAGTATGCTATAAGCAAGAGCATATGTAATTGATTTTCTTACGGCAAATGTCATAAATATCTTATTGTTATAAAGTAAGCAGCTGACGGATCGAAGCTTTCCAGATACATACGATAAATGCGTTGTCCATGATAAATCTGAATAAAAAAATATGCCTAAGTACTTAACGGTCTCAACGTATTTTAGGGGTGCACACGTACAATCTTGGCAGTTGGATCTGTGCAAAACAAGAGATTCGTCCAAATTCACTTGCTTTAACGGATTCCTGAAGCACACAAGTCTAGTTTTAGATGCGTTAACAGTGATAAAATTCTCAAAGAACCAATCCATTACTCGCGTGGCGTCGTGTTGCAGCGCGCGTACAGCTTGGTGGTAATTGACGTGACTAGAAACAAGTAAGGTATCATCCGCATATTGGTAAATTTTGCAACTAGTAAGCTTGGTTGAGATGTCATTAACGAAAAGATTAAATAACAAAGGTGACAAAATTGACCCTTGTGGCACACCAGCTTTTAGCCTGACCCGATCACTTTTAAAGTTTCCCATAGATACAACTTGAGTACGATCAAGAAAGAAATTTTGAAGTAAGGAAAAAAATGGTCCACGGAAGCCGTAGTTGTGCAGTTTAAAAAGTAGTACTTTGTGACTAACCGTGTCAAAGGCCTTTGCAATATCCAAAAAAATAGCACATGAATATAAATTTTGTTCAAAAGCTCGATGTAAAAGGTCAGAAAAATTTTCAAGCAGAGGTTGGGTGCCCTTCCCAGTGACAAAACCATATTGGTTTGGAGAGAGCAGGTTTGACTTTTCAATAAAGCCGGACATCACAATATAGAGATGCTTTTCTAAAATTTCGCCAATGCAAGGCAAGATGGAGATTGGGCGATAACATTCTTTTTTTTCCGGAGCTCCTCCTTTAAAAATTGGTTTAACAAGAGCGGTCTTTAAGTCATTGGGAATTACACCAGAATCAAGAATCTCATTAACTATGGTGAGAAGCACGTATTGAATATGACTAATGTTGCGGCGGAGGTCAATAATACGAATGCCATCAATACCAGGAGACTTATTGCATTTTAAAGAAAACAAAATTGATCGCAGTGTGTCCATAGTGAGAAGAGGAAGAAACGCAGATTTAGACATACCATTAATAAAACTCGAGTTCAAAGCTATAAAGTTATCATCTCTTGCAATGCCGGATGAAGTAGCGAAAAGCTTGTTGAAGTCGTTGACAACAGATTGAAGATCGGAACCAAAGTGTTGTTGAAGAAAGTCAAGGAGAGATTTTTTCGTTCCGTGTCCTCTAAAAGAGTTAATCAGCTTCCATGTTTCGCGTGCATTCGATCGGAATTCATAAAACTTTTTCTGAAAGTAGCGTCGTTTAGCAGACCTAATGATCGCATTGGCTTTGTTTCGAGCGCTTCGAAACTGTGTTCTTAGTTCCACGTTTTTTGGGGCATGACGGCAACGTAGCCACGACTCATCTTTTTCCTTGATTGCAGTCATGATGTCAGTATTAAACCAAGGCTTATCAGATCGTTGCTTGAATTTGATATTTTTTCTTGAGGTACTATAAAATGATTGAAATATCGCAGCAAAGGCACTGTAAACTTGGTGGGGTTCGACGGTCATTAGAAATTCACTCCAGTCAAAGGCAGAGACCAAAGCATCAAATGTAATTGTATCTATAATTGAGACATACGAAGAATCGCGCCTTGATATCTGCTCTTCACCTACTGGTACATCTAGACGACAGCCTGTGAAGTAATGGTCGGATATTTTTTGAGTAATTACGGCAGATTTTACTGATATATCAGGGGCCCGAATATTTATGTGATCAATGCAGGAAGTTACTAACCGTCCAGCCAGCAGTTCTTCTCTAGTGGGTAGGGTGATAGTATTTTCAATGCCATATTCTGACAGCAGTGTCAAATAATCGCAGACTATCGATTTATTTGGTTTAAGAGTATCAATGTTTAAATCGCCTACCATGCAAAATTATCCTTCCGAGCGAAACTTGTCTAGCACGACATCTAGCTCAGTAAGAAAAAGCGTAACGTTTTCTGAAGGAGGCCTGTAGACCGCGAGCAAGAATATGGAGAAGCCAGGCAGAGAAATGTGAACAGCTAGTGATTCAGCATGAGCCAAATTTACGTTCTGACTCACCGGTAACCACTTATCTTTAATGTATATTGCAATACCCCCGCCTCTACCATGGTCACGGGTGTGAAAGAACTCCCTATAACCATTTAAAATATATTGATTGCTTTGCAAAGATGAAATACCAATTTCAGTTAGAACGAAAACATCTATAGATCCGTTTAAGTTACTTATTAGAGCACGGAACTCGTCCCAGTGCTTACGCAAACTTCTAACATTTACGTGAATAATCGTGAAAGTGTTATCAGAAACAGGTCCCAACAGTTGATTAAATGAATAAAAATTTGGAACCGACACACAAATGGTCATACTTTAGACCAGTTGCACTAGATCCTTTTGTGTGTTAACGCGAACGACTGGCGAGTCTTCGGCTTTCTTTGCGTAAATCTTAGAATTCTTTGTCCAAACAAACCGGTATCCATGTTTTTTGCCCTGAGTTCTCGCCAGCCAAAAAAGTTCTTTATTCGCTGGTGTAAGGTTGTCATTGAAGAATAAGTTCGGTTGATCTTCAGACCGGCACAGTTTGCGTAGCCTTCCTCGTGCAGACATCCAAGAGTTCTTTATGGCGACAGAGGTGAAATTTATCAGAACTGTTGGAACTGAGTCAGGTTTTTTTGTAAGGCGATGAATTGCCAGGATGTCCGAAGGCTGAGGTGTTGGAACATCAAGCTTTTGAGATAGGTCGTTCATGATTTGCATCAGGTCCTCGCCATGAACAAAGGGAAGACCGTGTAGCTCCATATTGCAACGGCGACTGTACTGGTGCGTATCATTGAGCTCTTCTCTCAGTCGCTCAATTGTGTCAGCCTGATGTTCCATTGTTGTCCTGACTGTGTCCACCTCCTGTTGTAAATCCTTCACAGCTTCCTCATTGGTCATTGCCATAGCGAGCACGGAATCGTATTTTAGGCTAAAAGAGCCAACGGTCATTTGTAATCCTTCGACCGTGCTGCGCAGTTCATCGACGGCTGGTCTTAGAGCCAGCAACTGATCCACTTTAGATGGAAGGGGCAGAAGGGTATCAACACTAGCCTTCAACGAAAGAAGCTGGTTAAGCGTAGCGCTGATCGAAGCCAGCTGACTGGTAACAGAAGCGCAATCTACAAGCTCCTGTCTGCTCACGTCGGCGTTGCCGGAATCCTCTAGTGAGCAGTTACCAGCAGTCCCTGAGACTGTTCGGATCTCGCCTGTACGGATCTCGCCGGTCCGGCAAGTGGGACATTTCCATGTTTCTCGTCTAGCAGCACCCATTCCCGCAAAAGTGCCATCCGCTACACCGGAGCAGGGTTTACCAAGGTGGTAACCATTCCGACAAGATGCACATGTCAAAAACCTTCCGTCAGCCGGCAGAGCGCGAACACATTTGATACAATTCATTATGTTGAGTACAGTAGCTATAATAATAATAATAATAATAATAATATACAAGAATCATCAATCATAACCAATTTTTATTAGGTGTCCAGGAACGATTATGCAGTCTTGGTACTGTAACACCAAAACTTACACACGACAGAAAAAAAAAAAAAAACTCAAAGCATTGAGTAAAAGACATGACACATATCGCGCATGCTAACACAAAGATACGACTTACACAACGAGCAAAGAACGGAACACTGGGTCCAAACGCAGGGTAGAAGACTGCAACGAAAACGGATATACCTTATTAAATAATATATAATAAAAGCACAATGATGACAGGTTTAGCACGACTCGTACAAGACTCTGAGATATCTGACAAATTCAGAAACACAAAAAATATCAAGATGACTTGCGATGCTAATATATGTCCGACACATACGAAACATGGGGTCCAGGGTATTTAACGTCCGAGGAGAGTAAAAAGACGTTCTCAAATGGGTTGATGTACGAGGAACTCGTAAAGGTATATCTGAGAGCAGCTCTGAACAGTCGGCCGTGCAATGAAGGACTTTGAAAACGAAAGCCAGATCTGCCTTTTCTCGACGGTGATATAAGCTGTTCATATATAGGACGTCCAATACACTGTTACTCGGATAGATATGTTTATATCGATATCGATAAATACAGCGCCACCCAATTACAGCGATCCCACATATAACGCTCTACCGCTTAAAACGATCAGTTTCTAGAGTTTCTTGACTGGAAATGATCAGTTTCTAGTCCAGATACAACGATAATCGGTTATAACGATTAAAATTTCGGGTCTTCTCATTATTGTTATAAGTGGGTTACACTCTATATATAAAATCGTTTTGCACTCGCTTAGGAGGGCAGTTTTACTTAGGAGGGCAGTTTTACATCCACCATTCCACACAGGAGATGCGTGTTAGAGTTGGGACCTTCTCAGAAAGGGGTACAGGGTTACAAACCTTGCGAGGTTTCTAAATACTCTGGTCCTTTGGCAGAGAACACAGAGCTCGCACAAGGATCAGGTACTTATACGAGCCACATGGCTACCAAACCTCAAGGAGGAGTCAAAAAGCACTCCCAAGTCCCGCACTTCACTAGCACGGCACAATATGTCTGAGCGAACACTGTAGGAAAAACACGTAGTCTGCGTTTTGCGACATAATGAAGTGACCTTGGTTTTCGAGCTGTTTAGTAGAAGACCGTTCAGTGAACACGATTCGCTAAATCAGTTTATGTTCTCTTGTAGAAACTTTCAATATGTGGTAGATATAAGGTAGTTTTAATCTCCTTGAATATCTTATTATCATCAGCATATTGCATAAAAGAAGAGTTAACAATCTGCGTACACACGTCGTTCACAAAAACAGTAAAAAGAAGAGGGCCCAGAAGTGATCCCTGTGGTATTCCAGACGTGGTCATGCACGTACGTAAAGGAACACGCGCCGTTCGCACAAGCAACACATGTTCTAATAGACAAATAATTCTGAAACTAGTCGTGTAGCCATCCACAGACACCGATACCACAAAGTTCTGATGATAGAATGCCATGGTCAACCACATCAAAAGCCTTACTCAGATAAAAGTAGACTACGTTAAGCTGGTCTCCGTGGCATACAGCTTTGGATGCAATGCACATAAATGAAATAAAATTTGTTGTTGTCAAGCGTACTGATACATATCCGTGTTAGTTGGAACTTAATACATTTTTTTAAACGAAATGACGATGTTGTGTGGACTACCATTTTGAAAAGCTTTTAAAATGTAGTCACCAGAGAAACTGGCCTGTAGTTCGATGCAGTGGCACGACTTCCAGACTAGTAGACTGGGACAACGACCGATTTCCTCCACATGTCAGAAAACACTTCTGCTCTTAAGGAGTTGTTGAGAATATTATAAAGGATGGGTGTGAAAATTTTGTGAAATGCTTTTACAAGTCTTACTGGAACACCGTCGTGGCCTGAGAACATGCCTTCCTGAACCATTCCCTCATCACCAGTCAGGGAGGAAATGGATGCGTTGACAGCAGGGAATGGCGGCTGTTGGTGCACACTTCCATTGCGTTTACATACAGAACTGAAATGACGCGCGAATATATCGCATACACTGGATGTGGTCACATGCTCCTTATTCAGCCTAATATCAGGATGTAACAATCTTCCGCCTCGAGGACAAACATGCCGGTAGAGTTTTCTTGCATTTATCCTCAAGCCGGACTCCCCATATACCAATTATGATCAATCCTCTGATGTTGCTTGCAGAGGCGTCTATAATGAATTAACTCAGCCTCCCATCTGAGACTACCAGTCTTCTTCAAATTTGCGGTGAGAGAAGTTTTTTTTCTTCAGCAACTTGTTTAAATACTTTAAAAAGCAGGATTTTGAATTTTGAAATTTTGAATTAGTTTGTTTCTTTAGAAGAATGTAGTGACCCATTCCCTCCTGCACCGCTGTGGTGAATTGAAGAACCTGATAATTGACGTCAGATGATTGCAGAATAGGGGACAAGTCGAACTTAAAAAAGTGGTTATATAATCCCACAAACAGCATCGAAGTAATGCAGTTTGCCCAGAGAAGTGAGACTAGCAGCCGGCATACGGCTGACAGGTACATTCAAGGTTATAGCCACCTGAAGTGCAGATCGATATTCGTCTGTCGGCACCAAAGGAAATCCACTCTTAGTAAGAGAAACGTTATCAATGTCTGAGAAACAAAGGTCAAGGATAGCGCCTTTAATATATTTTACCCTGCTAAACGGATTCAGGCCCATGAAAGAGGCAAAATCAACAAGATGATCACCCATCTTTGCACGATAATAATTACTTGTAACAACACTGTGAGTTTTCCAGCTCACACCTGGTGCATTAAAGTCACCAATTACTAATAGTTTGCATTCACCCAGCTTGTCTGCTGAATCCTCAATTCCAAGGACACTAATTAAACTCATCAGATTCAATGTACGGTGAAAAAACAAAAACAGAAAAAACTAGCTGTTTTTTTTATTTTGGTGAAGAAGGAAGACCACCGAAGCTGTACAATGGTGGGAATGAAGTAATGGCCGGCCGGAAGTCGGCAAGCCAGAGTATAAAGTCTGGAAGGGTTTCCGCTATGTATGAGCAACGGCGACAACCAGACAACTGGCAAGCCAGTTCTCTGGTTGCTGCCGCCAGGGTTGGGCAGAAATACTCAAAGTGTATTTGGAAATACAAATACTGGGATACATTAAAATAGTAGCTAAAATACTGATACTAAAATAGATCTGTTAAAATGAATCGCGATACGTATCGGAAATACATCTTAAAAAGCGGCAAAAAGTATTTAGAAATACAAATAGAGGAATACATTTTAGGAAGGGCAGAAATACAAATGCAGAAGTAGTGATACTGCAGTACATTTTTTTTTAATTTGTCTGAGACGCCAACTAAGATTAAACTTGAAGTGGAAGTTTTTGATCCCGAAATACATTCCCGTAGGCTTGGCACTATGCCTTGAAGGTAGTGGTTTAGGACGGCGAGGAGTCTTCAATGAGTCAAAAAAAGTTCCATCTGGGACCGACCGCGGTCCCTTCTCCGACATCCTGTCGGTCTGATGAGGGATGCGAAAAGACTTCGACCTCTAAAGAAATTCGGTGTCACCCTAAATCTCATCAAAACGTCACAACGCCCTTGTCCAATAGGGATGCCCCTGTCAACATTGATCGCATGGCGTCACGGTGGAACGAAGTGGTATTCTTTATCTGTAGGTGTGGCCTTAGATATGAAAGTTTACCACGCTGCTGTATGAAAGGACAATACGTGTCATTGTCAGTATAATTTGGAATTTTCGAGAACAGTGGACCACGTGAGGCATCTTGGAACACATGTCATCTTCTGTTACGGTTGAAAAAACGATACGGTGGTATTCCTCTTCTGAAGGCCCTTCCTGCCGACCCTCCGCTACCGACGCATGGATTGAAGTCTTCAAGTTCCGCCTAGCATCCGCTAAACAGAGACCTCGTGGATTACGACCTGATATTGCCGGCACAGGTGCGAGCTCTCCGAGAAACAGCGCGCTCGAGACGAGTCGCAGGTGTACAAAGTCTGGGTCGGCACCGCGAGGCCACGTCTGGCCTCCTTCCTGGGACTTGGGTCACGAAAGCAGCGGGTCACGTTCACGTCGGCTGATGACGTACCATTGAGCCGTCCAATATTACGGGCGCAGCCGCAGACGAATTCGAATATGTGTTGAACTTCACTGCGTGAGTCATCCTACTATTTTAACCCAACAACCGCCCGGCTTGCCCTGCAACGGACTGTGACTCCGCTTTTCCCGCTGGGTGTACTGTGTACGCTAAGGCAAGAAAGACGGTTAGCAGCGGGTATTAGATGCCAGCAAACGATGAGTCAAGAAATCGCTACCTAAGAACCTGCGGCAGACGATGCTCTGACTCCACTCCTGGCACGCCACCTGGTTCGAGTTTCCGACTACGCAACACTTCTTAGAAAAGAGAAGAGGACGCATAGAAAAATAGTTTGGAGAATCGAAAGGAACCTTGGTCAGCATAGTAATAATGCCCCAGTATCACCTTGACCCCGGTACTTTCAAAACTAAAAAAAAAATGCTTTCGGACTTTTTTTCTTTGGAGGGGGGGGGGGGGGGGGCAGTATTTTTCAAGAAATGTAATGAAATGCATTTCATCCTGATTGTATCGCGATAAAAAGAAACATTCCCAATGCATTTCGATACAGGAATACAGATACTGATAAAAAATGTATCGCGATACAGAAATACAGATACGAACTGTATTTCTGAAATACTATCGCGATACATTTGTATCGCAATACTGCCCAACCCTGCGCCGCCACCTATAGATGGCGGTAGATGTCCAGAGTTTGGTGTCATCATTTATTTTCTGACGGACACGATACAAGGGAAACGAGGTCCTATCAGCTCCGCTGTAAACGTACCTATCAGAACGTGTTCTCTTTTATATCACACTCCAGCACTACA